TAACGGAACTCTTAATTCAACGGAAACTCTTAACTTAACAGAAACTAGCTTAACTTAAGTACTGAAACAAACTAAAATGGTCTGACTACACATTATTTTAAACGTAGGGAGCTGAAGATAATATAACGAAGAGTGTAACAAAGTAACCCAAGGTCCTTTGCCTCTTCTGGAGAACAAAACCAGGTAGAGTCAAAGCAGGGACTATTCACGAGTTCACGGTACTATATTGTATAAGTGATATAGTTGGAGACATGTTAATGTTCAATGTTAAGTCTTTGCTACACGTTGTATACCTCTCGTGCACGCCGGCGCGCGATCAAAAGGGGTTGCAGCGTGTGTCAATTAAGTCTCAGTGATTATTTCTCACAAAGGATAGAGATAACAAAAGGAAAGGGAGAGCTCAAGAGAAGAGCTTAGCTGTTCTCGAGTGATTGCTGTAAGATGTGGTACAGTATCTAGAATCTAGATCTATTTGTACATCCACTGATTTATATCACAGGTGAAAAAGCCACCACTGTAAAGCTGTAAGTGTAAGGTAGATTACCCCCTGCAGGTACTGGACGGTATTCAGTCTTTAGGAGCTTATAAACTTCTGAAATATACTGCTAGACGGTTTATAATGATCTGCGAAAATTTGACCCGTCTAAACTTATAAAAATATTATCCTAAAGTTTGGATTGGAATTTTAAAATGTACAGGTTTTGAGGTTTTCTAATCTCCTTACAGGCGGGCAGGACACTAATTCTAAACCTTTCAGTTTCACGGTATGATTTTTATACCCGAGATTAAGTATCACTATAATTATCACCTCTGATTGATTGAGGAGCACTACCCAGAGGCATTACTCGTGGTGAGAACAAAGCTACAATTCAAGCGGACACTACATACATGCTACATAGTCATAAAGAGGTCTCCTCCTAGTCGTTGGAGCGGCCTGCATCACACACATCTCTTCAACGGTGTAACATGTTCCTCCATTCCACTCGTTTTAGAGCTAACTGTTTTACTGCGTCTCTGCTGTTATCGACATGCCTGTAAAGTCAGCCGCACCCTCGAGTACACAGGCCATCCAGCCTTTGCAGTTTGCGGGGTCGTCCTCTCGGTCTCTTTCCATAGTTTGGTTTCCAATCCAGTAAAATATTGGGAAACCGTGTCTCTGGCATTCTGACAACGTGTCCGTACCACCTTAGTCTAGCCGAACCGATGAAAGTTTCAATAGACAATAAGCGGACAGGCGATGAAATTTGACAAGCTAAACGGAGAAATAATACAAATTTGTACGACAAATTCTATGTTTTAATTTATCACACGACCCAGCATTTGATCAATGAAGGTAGCCATTCTGGCGGAGGGGTGCATGCGAAGTCTTTCAAGCTTTATGTTGTAAATAAAAGCCAAGGCTGTTATTGTCAGCTACTTGGCAGCTACTTGGCAGTGTCAATAGGTACTCAACGGATACTTTATAAGCTTCTGAAAATGAACTTTCACGAATAATCTGTGGATATTCCAGCCATTTTAATAGATACCGCGTTTACTTAGGTAACTGCTAAAGAGACTGGGTGATCATGAACCAAAGTTTCATTTCTAAATTGCATATTTTCGTATAAAGATATGTCAAGTTATGGAGGAAATGATCACTTTTTGATCATGAGCCGTGGGAAATGAACCATGGGAGTGACCCTGCATTTGATCTAAAGTCTGCATTTACCGTATTACTGGCTATACTGATTACTGATAATAGACTGTTAAACTGACAGTAGATTATAGCAGATAATAGACTGTACTGACAGTGTCAGTAGATTCTCTTTACAGCAGCAATTTAACCAGAACAATTTAGTAATTTGCATACAAATTGATCTAAACCGGTATATTTAAAGTAAGAACCCATGCTGAATAATGAGTTCTTGTTTACTACTCAGTATAGTATACCGCCCTTATTATGGTTTGAAGACGAAAAACTGCTACTGCTAGCGAGTAAATACAACAGTAATTTTCGACAGAAGTTTAATTCTATAGAACAACAAAGTACAAACAAGTCAAATGTCAAAGAAAATACGAATTAGAGTGGCAGAGACATTTTGCCTAAACATAAAATAAACCGTATTTGAGATCAAGCGATCATAGATTTGACTTAAGCCTCCTTTCTAGGGCTTCCTTAGAAGGCTTGAGTTCTAAGGAACTGAGGCTAGAGTTCTGAGTAACTCCCAAATTCATTAGACGTCTAACTCTAATGATATTGTTCTACTTATGACTGTAGTAAACACCAGCCAGCGAGATTATACAGTAGTTGTACTAAAAGTCAATAACATTATCGATATCTTATATTACTAGCTATAGTCTAAACTAGTGTAATAATAGCCCCACAAATATCGAAGCGGGCTGCAGCGCAAATAAGTAGCTTTAAGGATTGAGCTGCACCCCATTAAGGATTGAGCTGTACCACTTTACTTAAACTTATGAATAATTTATAGCTTGGTATTGTTTATAATGTGATACTGATTGTAATGCCTAAGTCATTTATATATATATAATATATATCTATATTATAATTCGAACAATTGAAACAAATCAAACTGGCGGGCAAACGATCCGTTTCATGATATGTATAAAACAATACCAATCATCAATATATTTATTTATATATATATATTGAAGTGGTGTAAGTAAGGTGTAGTGTAACTGCAAGATAAGGTGATTATTTTATTTTTACAAGCTCTGACCCACACATTGATATAAAAGTCAAATATGCTGCACTGTAGCACTAGCAGGGACGCTCATCCTAAAAGTACATAAATAGTAGATTAATTTTTTAAGAGCATCCGGCAGCTGAAACCGTTTTAATTCGACGTATTTTTGAACGCTGATTCAGAAACAGAATCATACAACATGGTATAAGATTAAAATGCTTCCCGGACGAGTTATCGGCGAAATCTGTTTAGATCACGTGGTCATATCATAACTATAAGGGAGTAGGATAAATATCATCCTCGCAACAACGTGGAAAGCAAATCTCAAGACAGAGCAAATCAATCATACAAAAAGTAAAAGGTTCATTTAAGTGATTAACATCATCAAAGTAAAACCCAGACGACGCGATGCAAATCATTTTTGGATAACGCTAATAGCTAGTTAGTGTTAGTGTTACGCAGAAATAATGATTTGCATCGTCTGTTAGTAACAAGATAACGCAAAGCCTTTTCGTAAGAATAACTGTTTAATATTGTCGTGTTTAACTATTCACCTTTTGAGGAGGCAACCTGGCAACAACAAAACAACAACAAAAAAACAACAAAAAACACATCCACAATCCAATTTAATAACTTGCTATATTGTGCACTAAGTTAACAAGTGTCGACCAAAATATAACGAATCGTTTAATAATAATATCACTATTCCGGGGCACCTCAACAAAAGCTACTCAAGCTATTACGATATTCTCACAGAAAAATAAAACTAGTACGTTCATGGTTCAGTAAGGTGGATAATTTCCTATTTGCTATTAATATCATAAATGTTAGACATGGCCCAATACCGATCAAGGAATACAGCATTGTGGAAAAAACTTATTGTGGACAGCTTCAGTAACCAATTGATATAATTAGTATCCAATTAGTATAATTAGAAACCAATTAATCTAATTTTGTACATCAACTTAGCTTGATTAATGCCAAGCCAATTCCGTCATAATTGCGTTTGAAGATGCAAATAAAACATGCAAAAACAAAGATTTATTTACTTTATAAAAAGTAAACTGCGAGACTGAGAGCGAGAAAAACAAGTCAAACTCGAATACAGTTTACGCATCAAATACTATTTCAGATTGGATTAATACTGAAAATTGAGCCTGTCGTACCACGTACGTCGGTGCGTACTACTACTAACAACAACATAAAATAGGTTAATGCAGGAAATGAGAAATCAAAAATCATAATTGGGTTTTAATTGAATACCTCAAAAGATCGAGTGACAAATGAAAATACAATTACTGGCAATGGTGAAAGTGTTGTAATTGTATCATATCGCCATCGGAGAGAAATATCTCTCGAAATAATTTCCGATACCATTCTTTAAACGTACGCCAATAAATATTATAATTGCAGTAATGATAATAAGGATAACAATGTACACACAGGAGTACTTTTGGTTGATGAGGCAAAATTCTCAATTTTTTAGAAAGTATAAATAGCAACGTGAACTTCCTTACAAAGCAAATGAGAGGGACCATTCAGATAAGGATTAAGGAGGGTACGCAATCGTGTTTAATTTGCAGCCTTTTTTGTATTATTTTGCAATTAACATGACACAATATCATGTCATGGATTGCTCGATTTCCCGTACCATGACATGTAATTTCATTAAAAATTATGAGAAATGCCGCCGCAGAAGTTGAAACCAGACGAACAAATTAATACAAGTTGTTATGACATGAGGTGCCAAACATCTTGATGAGAGGGCGTTAACCACGTGCTAAACCTCGTTTTATTGAAAACGTAGACAGTCGGGTAACAGCTGTAGGACAGTTCAGACATTTGACAAGGAGAGAGAGGGTCATTGGAGAGTTATAAAGCAATCTGCCAATAAACAGAGACGTGTTCAATCTACTACGACAAATTTAACAAGGTCAACTGGAAGGGGATCCCAGGACTAGTTCCACGGAAATTAGATCTAAAACTAGGACATGGTGTGGAGAGGACAGGAACATTTATATTACTAGGACTACAGTTGTAGACAGGTTGGGATGGGATCCTCCTACAATTTACATAGTTGGCATTCCAATACTGATTAGCTAGTTTTTAGTTTGTGACGTGTCATGCTTCATGACGTGTTTCATTTTTACAGAAATTCAATTAACTGAAATTATCTAGATACAATTCCGTTCGTTTTCTCAAGAACAGTTGAATCAATCAACGTTATACCCTAAAGCTGGACAGCCAAGTCCATAACATTAATAATGATTAATAATTATTTTTCAGATGACATATATAAATGAAACGCAAAGCTTGTTGACATGGACTTCAACCTCTTTCCATGACAAATTCATTATTTCTATCATATATCAAACATGCTTAGAACCCCGGTCCAAGGCAGAGGGGAAACTCAATTCAGATGTTCTGGAGAGGAACAGGGAAATGCGAAAAAAATCAGCAAAATGTGGATGAAATGCGACAAAACCCCAGCAAAATGTGGAAAAATAGCGACAAAACCCCAGCAAAATGCAGAAAAAAGATAACCCTAGCGCTCAACGCGAAAAAGAGGCCCAAATTAAAATATATCATAAATAAAATAAATATATTATATCTCCCTAACAATAAGCATTAATTAGATTAATATCTATAGCGGATGATGCAAGTCAGAATTGGGCATTCAAAGAAAAAACATTTAAATTTAATCTATTTATATAAGTATATTATTATTAAGAATTTGATAAATTTGAAACTGTACCATGTAATTGTAATAAACTCCATAATTGTTTATTAAGGGATTAAAATAGATAAGTACTTCATTACCAATAACAAGATAAAATAACCATATATATGTGTCCCTTAAATTTAACCACAACAAGTTAATTTAACTGCGAAAATAACTTCAGGGAGATTGTTTTTACAAAATCCAAAATAATTTTAATTTACTATATTTAACACAGTTGTCTACATCACTTATTTTATTAGTTTTACTGTACAGAATAAAGAGGTTTTATCGTCTAAAAATCGGTCATCAACATTATGTCTACAGTAACTGTTTTTAATCAGAATAGGAATAAAATAAATCAAATAGTCTCTCACTGGGGAACTTGCAAATCTAGTCTCTCCCACGACTTATGACTGCATCTTTGCTTTGTTTTTGTAGAAGGAAGACATGATTTCCCAAGCGCTGGGAGCCATGAAGCCGGGAGGGGGTTCCTCTCCGTCACGAGCGAGTTGTCGCATCTTGGAGCCGGAAATGAACAGGAAGTCCTCGTGCCGGGAAGAGTCGTAGAATGCCATCTGACACTTTGTCTTGTCGTAGGCGGCCACAACAAAGGGGATGATGGTGAGTTGTCCAAGGCCGGGGGCCATGGTCAGGACCTGGGCGGGAGGAATGTTAGAAGATGTCGAGTTTTACAATTCCATTTTCCCCATCGGCCATCATCTGATAAATGAGTTTGAGAAGATATATGTTTCAAGATATCTAAAAAATCTAATTAAATATAATGAATGAGTTACCTTTCGTCCGTGTGTGTGCTCGTAGATGTCGTCTCCGTGACCGGGGTGTTTCATACCAGCCGGATCTCTACCGACAATGTAGTAAGTTGCACCAGCTGCAATACGAGCCTGCAGAGATAGGTGGTCAGAGAAATTTTAAAAACTTCAAAAATTGTTGAAGTATAAGGTTACTATTCAAATTTGTGATGATCTGTAGAATTTCTGTCAATGAATTAAAACTCGGTTCTATCAAAGTATCAAGCTTGACCGACCTTGGCGTGCCACTGGACCTCAGTAGGGCCAGCGTACATCATGGGGCTAGGGAAGATGGCCATGACAGTGGAGTCAGGGTCCAGAACTCCCTCCTTCATAACAGCGTGATGCTGCTCAATCCTCACATTCAGGGGCACATCATCGTTCTTGGTGAACCCTCCAAGAGGATGCAGCAGCAGGACGGGGTTCTGGGATAGAGGGGGTAGTTAGTGGATGTGGTACAAAGTGTTAAAGTTCATATTTAAAATAAGTGTTCGGCCTATAATTCAAATCGTCCCCTTGTTTACAATGAACAAATAGTCAGCTAACAGAGGTCCCCACTCACCGAGTAACCTCTCTCTAACAGTCTCTTCCTGGTATCAGCCATGAGGAGAGCGTGTCCATTATGGATGGGGTTCCTCAGCTGGAAGGCGAACACTGCATCAGCTTTCCTCTTCTTGAACTCGGCTCTCAGTTGGTTAGGAGTAAGTCTGTATTGGTCCAGGCCATCTTCCCACTTGATCCTCTCGAGAACTTCCAGATCACCACCAAGACACCAGTCACCAGATTCCCAGATCAGCTGCAGAAATGTTAGTTTAATGTTAGTTAAATGTTAGTTAGGACTTTCTTGATGTCGTTTTAAAGTTGAGTTTAAAAATATAAATTTAGCGAGCTCCTGTTTCTAATTCACACCCGCTCCCACCGTTGTTCCTTTAGAATTCTGACGGTGGATGATCCTGAATGCAAAAGTTGCCACGTGTACGTATCCACGTCCAATGAACTAAAGTTATTGGCTCACAACCATGGTTCTAACCTCTACACGGGTACACACTGGTCATACTCACACCCACACTACAAAAAGGGCAGGCAAATCTCTGCACTTATTGGTCAGAATCAGCCACGTGACTTGGGAAGCTCAGCTCACGTGGGTGCATACTCGTGCAGGGATTGGAGGAAGGGGTGTATTGTGCTTGCGCCGGATGTACTAAACCTGACCTACAGTCTCGACAACGTGTTATATGTTACTATGCATATATTATGTTGGCATTTTATTAAAATGTAAACAGGCTGCTACCTTACGTTTCACAGTTGACAGTTCAAATTTCACTATGTACAACGTGGACTCACTTTTGAAAATGATATATTTCTCAGGATCAAAACTCCAATCGGTAAACATTCGAAGTTGATTACAGTCCAGACTCGAACAATTATATCTAAACGATAACCATATTTGAGACTCAACGACAATATAATATTCAACCCACCCCCCAATTAGAGTACACACTATACCTGTTGATAAGGATGCTCCTTGTGGACAATTCCCCACTGTCTGGCACATCTCTCCTCTTTCCTCATCTCGTATGTCTCCGGTTCTCTGACCACGGCGACGATCTTACCGTTGTATCGCAGAGCTACTGACTTCTCTTCTTTCAGACTGTAATGATGATAAATATCGTTAAACTACAGAAAAATAAGCAGCAAACTTATGTTACAGCCATTTCCATACTTTTCTACAGAAACCAGATGATCCAGTTCACCTAAATCCTTCCACCAGAACATTCTAGCATATTCCTTAATAATACATTTTGCACATCTCCTGGAATTATAATTTCTCCCCTTTATGACGTAACTGATAACCGTGAGTGAACTTTCAAATGTGTGCGAGGGAGCGGAGGCGACCCACCTCCCCATGAGGGAGTGTGTGTACTACACGTGTCAATATAACACACTCTCATGAGCACACAATTATTGTGATATTACGTGTGCAGTGTGCACGTTGTGTCGTGAGCCATGAGGTGCACGTCATGGTAGATCAAAACTTGGGTTTAAATTAGTAATTATTTTAGTGAAAAGATTAGCTGATCTAACAGAGATAGGAGTAAAACCAGCCCACGAATTATGGTTTATTTTTGAAAGTCTTATCATATGACAAAAAGATTGAAAGGAAATTTAAATATATTAAATATGTTTGTTAACACAACACAAATTCCATTCATTACACAACTACTTGATATTAAATTATCACTGCGAAGTATTCCACTACATACCGGTCCTTGTCCTCGACAGAGATAGGAAGAACGATAGGTACTGACTGGTTACTGCTTCCGTCTACTGATTTGATGTTGTTAAAGTGAAGAGTCTGGAGATATTCCGTCTCCCTCATGAACCCTCGGAGAGGAGTTGCCCATCCCTCGGACAAAACCTGAGAAATTAATCAAATAAAGATTTACAAAATAAAGTTCTGAAATGATAATTGCAAAGCAGACTTGATTAGTAGATGAAAAATAAACAGACTATATATAAGCCTGAAATAATAAGAGTACAATGAAAGATTCGCACCTGAATCCACTGTGTGTCAAGTTTGGTGACCTCCAGTTGGGGGAGAGTCTCGGCTTCCTGTCTCAGCTCATCGACCTTGTGTCCTGGAACAAACAGCTCCCTCACTGTATCCACGCAATCAAATGGCACGATGTCCTGTAATATTGCCTGTTTAACGCTAGAGGGGACTAAAATCGTTTAATTATTATTATACATTCCTGATTGCATCCTATATTTGTATAGCATTGAGTAAAATTTAAACAGGTCCATCGCTCGTGCGCGCGCGGCTGCTACTATCACAGTGAGGGGCGGAAAATTTTGTTTTTATGACAGAAACACACCGCGCGCGCGGTCAAGTCATAACGTGACGTCATTGTCACATACGTGTAACCAAATGTACATCATCACTGCATGTCTCCTATTCACTGTCTGACAAAAGGCGAGGTGGCCGGGTAAAGGGCTCTTTGTTCACCACAATTTATAGTTTTAGTCAGATTCAGCCACGTGTTAAAATTTAAATGGGAACTTTTGTTGTAAAGTTTAGTCAATACTCACGTTTTTCTGAAGGAAAGACACGACTTGTTGGACACAATCGTTGATACTGTGGATATTATCCTTGTCAGAACATAAAACAATATCTGGACTGACTGGGGCCTCATACGGATCATCAATACCTGTGAATCCTGAAAAATAAACCGGTTAGATTGAAATAAAGTAGTTAGATATATTATTTGCTGAAACTCAGTGAAATCCCTAAAATTCCGGTAGTAAAGCTACGTATCTCAAGAAACATACATTAAAAGATGAAAATTTACCGATTACAATAAGTACCACACTCAGAAGACTAAGGGTTGAAGATGCTCAGAAGAGAAGAGAAATCAAACTGGAGCAGCTAGAGAAGGTAACACTCAGAAATGAGAAGATAGAGAAACGGAGGAGAGGGGCTGTCAGTTACCGAGGACCAGGTTAGCCAGGCCATGAAGACAGTCTCTTAAGAGGAGAGTTGGAGTGAGCAGTTCGTTAAACTCAGTCTTTACGACGGGAAATAGGAGGAAGTTCCAGCTGAAGCCGAATAGTTGCTGTATTGTGGAGTTCAGATAGCACCTCACGTAGGCTGATAGAGACTCAGTCACGATAGGAAACTTGGTCGCTCAAAACCTGGGAGTGTCTTACTATGCAGACTGTTCTACCGTGTTATAATATGCTATTCTCCCAAGTTAGAGGCGAGTGAAGGCATCAATTGTGGGTTTGTTATCTTTATTCACTTTCAAACGGATTACAATAAATTATCCCTTCTAAAACTGACTGATACGAACTATTCTGGCGAATGATTCCATAACTGTTCCACAACTGACATGATATAGCTAGTGATGCTATAGTTAGGTAATAGTATAATCTCATATCACCAATACTCGGTGTATCACACACCGCACCCACCACACATTTTAAGCTTCATCTTTCATTACCTTGTACAATGAACAGGCAAAGAAATGTGTTCATGCACATCGGAAGTAACAACCCTTAGGCCTTACAACATTATCTACAGTTAAATTTAGCACGTATTGACAGTTAGGAACCGTAAAAGTGCAATTTTCGTGAACTCATGAGAATCTTTATAATGAAAACTGCCGAGACTCGTGAACATTAATCATTTGATGTTGTAATTCAATAACAGAAAATTAAAAGTGATTAGGAAGATTCTGTTGATTGCATGAAATCGAATCTTCTAGGTAATGAGATTTACTCTATCTCTCTGTCTGTCACAGTACCATACAAAATGTATTACTTGTACGGAGATAACATACAACCGAGCCAAGATATTATTCCAGATCATGTTGCAGGCTTTTAACCAAGATTGGGTGTACTGCTTTGGATAAATTGTATAGAAATTGTACAATTTCAGACTACTTGAAGATAATACTGTACGTGATTTAATGAGATGGAGAGTAGTGTACTCAAACATTTCGTGATGCAATTATTAGGAATGTTAATACTGATTGGGTGAAATAAAATCTAAACTGAGGATATGTAAATTAGATTAAATCCGAGCCGAGATATCTAGAACTCCTATATTAAACCGCACTGATTGGTTGAGTTAAATTTCAAAGAGAGAGAGGCGAGAGAGGTGACTGTGTGGGACTTGTTTACTTAACTAATAACAAATCTACCAACTCATCCTCCCCTGTTGCTGTGTACTGACATGATGTATTCTGTGTACAAAGCACTGTGAAATGACACGTCCTTCCACCTTATTTACGAGAACAATCTGTTAGTTTGATCTGCACAGTAACTATTCTGCAGACTGCACTGACACGTGTACAATGCTCTGTGTTCTCAAATTATTACTTACAATAGACAATGCAAAATGGGTGTGGGGTTAGACTTCATCGAAATATTGATTTGGTTAAATTTCTGCCACGTTGACATTAAAAATATTGGATATTATAGACGATCGTTTGAGCTTGGTTGAAACCCTGGCTAACTATTATAGCTAGTAGCTATACTGAGACCATGTATTGGGTTTGCAAGAGGGTTATTGTACCCTCTTGTACAATGTACTGCAATGTACACTGCATTGTACAATTCAAATATATTCTGCACAGGTAACAGGAATCAAAAAATTTAACTTTCATTTTACTAGTTCCACATCTGGTTTTACGGTAGCTGTGGGTACACGACACACGGTTCTGTGAGATGTTGGTAGTTATGTTCACTAAAACTATCGAACGTGACACTATCACATGAGGGGAGAACTCGCACACTCACAGCTCAAACAAACTCGCACACACACACTGACTCACAGCTCACACAAACTCGCACACACACACACTGACACACAGCTCACACAAACTCGCACACACACTGACACACAGCTCACACAAACTCGCACACACACTGACACACAGCTCACACAAACACACAGACTCGCACAAACAGTAAACACTCTCTAGCAATGAGCAGTGGGGAGTGTAGGGGATGTGACCATGTGACCGTCATGTGACCACTATGTCATCACACTATGTAACCAAGTAATGGAGAGAAACCTTTGAAACTTGAATCGTGTCATTATACCCGTAGTCATACTTACAACCAAGTTGTACATTCCAGTTAGGGAGCCAGGTATCGGAGGTATCGGAGGTAAGGAATATAATATTTAGTACAGTGCAGACATGGTGAACACGTGGCAGAGCTAACAATGCAATAAATACTATTTATAACGTACATAGCTAGCAATCAGGCAGATATTGCAGATAACGTGGCAACAGTACTTGATAAAGTAGATAGTAGATAGCAATGAGGCTGATAATTAATGGCGTACCCTCCAGTCTCTTTGAGGGAATTAGCTAGATCATTTAATCACCAGCGGTGCAGATAAAGTGCAAGGATTTGTCTAGAATTTATCGTGTAAATATTGTGCATCTTTATATTTTTGGGGAAGTAAACTGTGTATTAAACGGAGAGAAAGATGGTCTGAAATAACTTATAACTTTATAAACTAGACAAGTTTTTATTATTTTATCATCAGAATACTTGACCAATGGTGGGGAGGCCGGTTGCTGAGTTGGAGAAACATAGTGAAACAGACAGTGGACACGAGATGAACACAGATGTAGATGTGGGCGCATTCCAGCATATCAAATAAGCTGAATTGTTAAGGCCACAGGGGGGGGGTCCGAGGTCGATTTTGAGATTTTGAGATATGTTGTAGAGCTCGATCTAAATTTTCAAATGCTTTTGTCCTTACCGAAAACAAAGTTTCCTATTTGAAGATATCGCGCGTTGAATTTTGAGGTTTACCTGTAATTCTATTGTAAATGAAAACTTTAAATGAAATCGTGTTCAAAATCTATCTTCTTTTTCAGTTTATGACTTAGAACCTTGTAACTTGGCAACAATGTTCTTCAAGGTATTTTGAGTTTTTGTTATGTAACGATTTATGATATCTTGCTCCAAAGCTGAGATATGAGGTTAACCATGAGTGCGGGTTACAAAATTTAAAATGGTTAACCTCATAAAAAGAGTTAGGAGCAAAATTACAACAATCGTTACATAACAAACTTTTAAATTTATGTCAGGAACATAAGTTCCAAATTTGAGGTAAAATGGATAAAAACTCTAGGAGAAGATAGATTTTGAAGTCAAAAATTCGAGGTTTTCAGGAGAGGCAAAAAACTGTTTTTTATGTTATGTGATTTTTGAGAATTTTGCCTTTATTTGTATATTTTTCAAAGTTTAACTGCTGAAATAACACAAAAACAATTTTAAAAAAGCTTATCGTAGTTTTCAGTTGTAATGGCATCAATATTTCTGCCCTCCATTATCGATTTATCAAAAAAATGAGGTTAAATGAAAATTGGTTAACCTCATTTATAAAAAAAAGTAAAATAGCTACAGACAAATGAGTGGTGGCAAAGTATCCACCACAAAAATATATATTGATTCAAAGCATAATGTTTTTTTGCATTTTTTGAGGCCTCGACCCCCCCCCCCTGTGGCCTTAAGAAATGCTGTAAGCTTTTTAATTTACAAACCTTTGATTATTCCAGCTCTGGCCTTCTCGTAAAGTCCCTTGACGTCCCTCTTCTCACAGATCTCGATAGGAGTAGCCACGTGGACCTCAATAAACTTCAGTCCTGCGTCCTCGTGCAGTTTTCTTGCCAACTCTCTTTGCTGTAATGGTTTCGAGTTTAGGCGACGAATATTTTGGAGGAGGCAGTCATAATTTATTTCTGCTGTAAAACGCATTTCAACTTCAGCTACACCGAACTGTACAGGGAAAATTCGGGAGACAGTGGAATATAAGGCCTTTTAATCAGTACTAAATTATCGAGTACTCGGTGAAAAAATCAAGTCAAGTTACAATTTTTGGAATAGCGAAATAATGTCTACAAGCTTACATTTACTGATTTATAGTTCGGCTGAATTGCTTTATTCTATAGCAATAAAATTGAATAGAACATCGTTATAATATGTATTTTGAACACTACTATATAGCAAATTATTTGAGGAAGCGATGTAACAGAGCCACTATATTTAATGTTGCCAAGGGGTGGCTAGTCTCTATTCATCACAGCCCGCTAGTTTTAAGGCCTCTTCATTTATGATATATAACAATGCAAATTGTATTCAAATAAAGAGATTTAAATGACAATCTTCATTACAAACTATAAAAGCAAAGGAACTGACCGCGAGATAAGGGCTGATGAAGGAGGTAAGGCAGATGTTTCCACTGTCAGCAAACAGTTTAGCTGTCTCTGAAACACGACGGATGTTTTCTTCTCTGTCTTGAGCAGTAAAGCCAAGGTTCTTGTTCAAACCATGTCTTAAGTTATCTCCATCCAAACTGTTGGGAGGATATTTTTATTGAGTTGAACGAGTAAATTTGAAACATTAATATTTAGTTGAGATTGTACAGGTGCTGTATGAATAACAATAGAAAGTACTCAACAGAATTGTTTGATGGTGCTAACCTGTAAGCAGCAATTCCCTTCATAACGAGGTACTCTTCAACAGCAAAAGAGATGGTAGTTTTGCCAGCGCCGGACAGTCCGGTGAACCAGACCGTGCAACCACGGAACTGACCCGCTCCCAGGACCTTAGCACGCTTTGTACGTGAGACCGTACCATGTTCATACCGGACGTTTGTTGCTTTGATCTCGTTCTGAAAGGGGGGGGTGTTAGTAGTGTTGGTGGTCCTGAGTTTAGCTGCAATCTTTGTATAGTAGATTATGATGGTTTAGAGTAAAATTTAAATACCCACTATTCTTGCAGTGATGAAATTGGAATCAGTGGATGAGTGATTAAGGCTGAGTGAAGTTATAGAACCTACATAATCATCATTGCCCGGGTCCCTGGAACGGCGGTTAGAGCCTGACATCTCTGGTCGAATAAGAATATTAAGCCAATCACGTAAGTCAAGTTTTGAGAGCAAAAACGGTATCTTAAAGAAGATTCTCTATCGTTTGGCAGGGTAGCAAACATTATATATGTTATATATGTTAAAAGCTATACTATATAAATTTGTAGATCTAAACTTTGATGTGTCTTTCTGCAATGAGAAAGGAAGGATTAAGGGCAAAATTAATATAGGGAAAAGGTTTCAATTGATTGCAGTCCTAATTCCCAGTCAAATTCATTCTTTCAATCAATTCCTAGAATTATATCAGGCCGGATGAAAATCGTTAAGGCACTCAAGTTTTCTATGATATTAGTACAAACACTATGGCTCAATAGTTAGCTAAACAGAGTCATGAAAATAAGTAAACAGAAAACAAAAGTGCTAATCTTTTCAACTTAAGTAAAGCCCTGAAAAACAACATGAAACACCGGTTATATCGTGCTGAACGCGCTAAAATCAGATTGTGGGGCGCTCGATTGGAAGTCGACTAATTTTGTTAGCGCGCGGCTCCAAGTTTTAAGTTGAGGCCGCGCGGCGCAGTACAATTTAAATCGATTTTAAGTAAATTTAAATGGGAAACAGTGAACTTGTGATGAAGTTTTTGAAAATAAAATAATCATAGAAAATGAGTGTGGTTTAAACTTCATTGAAATTTGACGATGATTTGAAAATTTTGATAAAACGCGTACTTCACTTACCGAGTTGAACGAGTTGTCGTGAATATTCATCGGCATGATTCTGTTAAGTTACAAGGTACAGTCCAAAGATCCGACGGGAGCTTTTACCACCTAGCTGCTAACTGTCACAAAGAATTAGAATCGAATAATTAAAAATCAAACTCAGATCAGTGGAAATAAGATTAATATTAATTATCAATATAATAAATTAAACTGTAAACATAAATAATAATTTATAATCCAATTTTTAAATTATTTTTGAACAAAACATTAACATTTAACGCAAAATCCCAGTTAAAGAATTTTTAGTTCACGAATATTTTTAATATTTTGCAACATTAGGTCAATTTTGCAAACATGATGGCCGATCAGTAAAATCGGGAAAAAAATGTAAGTATTTTGTCGCTGCATTGCAAAATATGACACAAATTTTGCATACATGAAATCAGATTCTGCTGCAGCTACTCAACCACTGATTCCAGAAAATTGACTGATAGAGAAGTGCTGACTTAATCGGTTTTTTAACATATCTCTACTCTATTCAACTTATGAAGACTGAAGGGTATAAGTAACACTAACCATAACCGTGGCCCAGTAACAAACGAAACTGTACAATGAACGCGAAATTTGAGATACGAGGTTGCTGCACAGGTGGAGGAAAGAGAACGCAAGTGATACCACAGAGCACTGTGGACAATGTAGTGAGCTGTAGGTCACGTGACACTCCAGAGTGTGTCTCGTGACCCTCTTGGAATACGTGGGCACTACAACCTCAGCATCACGCCACTATAACTAACAGTGTTGTGTGGTTCAGCACCCGGGCTGGAAGTTCACCCGAACTGGTTTAAAGCTTACACACAACTGCACATGTCTGTGTGCTGCGATAGTTGGCTGTCTTAGAGAACGTGGCAAAATGTGCAACTTCAAGCAAATCTGCAAAATGTTCCAGCTATAACAGCTCTGCAAAAATAACACTCAAATTCACTAACAAACCTCATCAGACCCCGACCGCAGCTGAACTACAATAACAAAATAATCGAATTTCCAAACATATCATTTCATTGACTTTCAATCTCATTACAGAAGTGAGACGTTAACGTTAACGTTTCACCTTTCACTTACGACAACCGATAATTAAATTCACACTTTTAGTTTTGGGTTCGTGCTCCATCTCGCGACCTAAGGGATGGGCTACGAACAATAGTTGGACACAAATAAAAGAGTTAAACGCCTGAACAAGACCACGTCGACAGTACACTGCACTCTAAACGCTACAGAGTAACTCAAATAGTAAGTAAACAGAATAATAGTTCTACAGTGTGACACACACACACACTTATCATAGCCTCATTCGATTGAGGCAGTTTAACTGGGTAACATCATACCACCTCACTTGGCTAATTAGTATAAGTTGAGAGGACTGGATCATTGATGTAGCTGGCTAGCGAGTAAAGGGCATCCAGATTCCCAGAATGGGATCAAAGATATGAAGAATGCGGAAATTATGCAGACGGGTACGATACAGGATCTGTTCTAATTGAATCTGGGCGCTAGAACAAACTAAAAAACGCCACGTAAAATATTTGCAAGACTGCCAAAGAAAATGTGATTACCATACACTCGAGGAGGGTTTATAAAATCACGTATGTACTCGAAATCAAGGTACCCTCACTATTTTAGATCCTACTGTGTTTAATTCTGAGCATGACTTCATCGTGGGACGTGGAGGGGTTTAGTAGACAGTGAAGGAGGAGTGACAGGGAGTAATTGTGAATTATAAATAAACTGACTCGTTTTGGATGCTGTACGGCTGAGGTTTTGGGTGTTTTTAAAAACTGCAGCATTCGTGGAAACTTGAATTATGATAGGCGGCATTAATTCGTTGTAACGAGTATAATACCCCTTTATTGATATCCTGATTAAACTTTTATGGGACCTTAGATTATTCGTATCCATTGCTGATTTGCTGACGTTCACGACCAAAACTATTGATACGAAGAATCTAAAGTCTAAAGTTGATCTATCAGCTCCCAACGTATCAAAACACCCAACATTTAAGCTTATTACCTTACTCGGGATTATTATGACCGGGATAAAGTGGCGGGTTTAGGGTAATTTCGCCATATTTTTCCCGAACCACATTTTCACCGGTCGTTAATAAACCCGCCGACTCAGCTTTTAGGGTTCCCAAGGGGTATGGGTGCTCATATTTTAATGGTTGTCTTATATTCACTAAAGAAGACTATTGGGACACTTGTTGTAGGTTTTTCGACTTCATTTGGCTAAAATTGCAAAAAATTCACCTTTTTGCCCAATTCTTGTCATATATCCTTATTGTCAAAGTTGATTTAAATAGGCCAATTTTTAATTTCTTAGGTATTGACTATCTCTACATAATGAAATAGGACTCAAAGTAAAAGTAACAGTTAAATTAAAACTCGAATTAATTAAAACGGTCAATAACATGAATCAGTTTCATCAGTCATTTATTCATAATTCTAAACAATGTGAACGATGCATTCTTTCGAAGATTTTCTACAAATTGAGTCATAATGGTTATTTGATACACGTAAACATGTAATGCTAATTCAAAACAACGAATTTGCTAGAGTCTACTTTCAACAATTATTGATAATTCGACTTGTTTCACAAGTTTTAGCAATGCGAAAATTTCTGAACCTGCTTATCTCTAATAAGGAAATTTACATCTGAGACAAAATTTTTGAATCTAAAATTGAAAGGTTGGACACCGGTAAAATGGCGACCGGGAAAATGTGGTGGGTTTTGAGCAATTTCGCCATATTTTTCCCGAACCATATTTTAACCGGTCGTTAATAAACCCGTCGTTATAATCCCGAGTAAGGTAATCAACAAAATTTGAATAAATCGAAATGAGATAAATACTCGAAAACTAAAAGAAGACTGATATAAACAAGAAATGCGGCCGCTTTTCTTTTGTGGATGGCCGCTCAATTTCCCGATCCGTGATGGAGTATTTGATCATATTCCATACCACCTGTGGACCCCAGTCTTTACTGTTTATAAGCATGCAGATATGGCGGGGTGACAGGCCGAGCGCCGCCCAGTTGATATAATTCCATATTTAATTTGAAAATCGTGTATATTTCTATGTAACCATATGTTTATTGTTTATGCAACCTGACACGGATCTGTGCAAAATAGTAATACTAACTCAAAATAATAATAATCTGCTATCAATTAGTCCCTATAAGCGGGATGCGTACATGATGAAATTAACAATGTACTTGAACATTTCAGCACCGCGCGCCAACAATTGTTTAATTCAGATTTTCGCGCAAAATAACTTTGCGCAGGCAGACACGTGGGCGAAACGTACGCAGACACGCACGCTCGCACGCAGGTACGGTCGCAAAGCTACCATATCCCAAAAAAACCTCGATCGCTAACCCTTGTCCTTGACTCTTTTGTGCCTTCGGCACTTGAGTCATGGATCGGGAAAAAATAACTAAAGAAGGTTAATCGATACTGATAGGAAATGGGCACCTCGCACAAGTAAATGAGTTGCGACAGGTTGTTATGTATTGTTGTAGTTGTACTACGTGTACTTATATACCTACTTGTATTGGTACAGTCGTGACCCGTGTTATCAAAAGCAGGTTATATGTACTAATGTACTGTGTGAGGTAAGTAACACGTATATGCAATAAGAGATTGGTCTATGAAAATGCAAACTAGCTATATAATGGAACTATATAAAATTGGGCGTGGGAGTGGTCTGCAGTTCTACTCGATCATAACAATTCGTGACGTTTGCAGTCCTCTTGCATTATTTCGATAGCATTCCTCATGCATTAACCATTATCAGGATGAAGCAATGATACGAGATCTTTAAAAATCATAAACCTACGAAGAATTATACAATTACAAATACAATCTATACAAATACAAAAACACAATAGGAAAAAGTGGTATCAAAATATACTAGTACTATATACTATATTTTTTTGATACAATGCAATCGCAGAATCTCAAATCAAATTTTCAATTCTGTGAATTTCACGAAAAAAATCCATATTGCACTGTTCATCTACAAATCATATTATAAAAACGAAATATAATCCGTCTGATCACAATAATTAGTGTAATAAAATCGTTTAAAAGGAGTGCGGAGTCGCAGTCCACCCCATCAAAATACTGACAGGATCACATTACAACTCAGTCATTCCCATTAATTATTAATTAAGTCGTCATGTTGATAAAACATGTTATACCCATTAATTATTCATTCTGTTCTCAGGTCTCAACTGTCCAACTCATTAACCTGAATCAACCTTAACTGTCCAGTTTTTATCATTTCTGTAACTCATTAAAACATCCAAATAAAATCAAACATCCAAATCAAAACCAGCTCCGGACGATGGAACTGCAGCGCCTCCCTGTGTTTACCAAAGAGCAAGGAAGAGAGAAGAGAGGAGTGTCACCACACTGACGGTGAGGGTTACTCCGCTGTTTACTCGGTTATCTGTTATCACAGTGCAGCCGATAAAGTTGTTTCCGATGGAGTCGCTGATAACGATAGCCTTTCCAAGGATCCTGAGAATAGTAATATGGATAAATGATGTGATTACAAGATAATAGCTGATATTCAGAATGAAGTATTGACGACCAAGAATCGAGATTTGTACGACTTAATTTCTTAAAGCTCAAGACTCAGTGGTACCTCAAGAAATGACATAATAAGGCTATAATTAAGTATAACGGATCATACAAATTCTCTGCAACAAACTCACGAGAATTTTCCAGTAAGAGGCAAGTTGTCGACGTTTATCATCATTCTCTTTCCTAGAGCGACGTACTGTTCAGATTTAGCGGTAACGTCTCCAACTGTTGCGTAATGGGGGAACTCTCCGTTCTTAACGTGTTGCTGAGAAACGTGGTGATTAGTCATTATACTTGGGTTATCAACCAACCGAAATATTAAAATTACGTCGCAGTTTGGATACTGTAAAGGCTCAACACATCAATTTGTCCACATTTCATTTTGACTAACGCAGGCCCTCAATATAATTAACCTACGTACATCAGGGCTTGTACTAAACTTATTTTATTGGACGGAGTACAGTCTCATAGCTTAAATTAAACTAAAATTGGTTTACTATTCTGCTATCAACCTGCTGGTATACTAGGTAGACGGCTAGACGCGTATTTTGTTAAATTATCTCACCACTGGCACAGAGTATGGGTTGTAAATATCTTCAGATGGTCGGATTGAGCCATTCGGGAAATCAGAACAGCTGAAACAAAACGATGAGTAAAAAACAATCCATAGACAAACTACACTCGCACAGTCCGTTGCAGTTGACTTAGATCATATTTCACGTGTGTGAGTGTCACGCGTCCGATGATGGTATGGAATTGGATGACAATAATGATATTAAAATCAGTTGACTGTTGTAACTGTTGTAACTGTTGCAACTGTTGTAACTGTTGCAACTGTTGTAACTGTTGTAACTGTTGTAACTGTTACTGTCCCAATACTTAGCTCTGGGCACTCCGCCGCGGGACAGCTGCTTGTGCCCAAAGCTTTTCAACTTGAAAGTGGGACTTGGGTCAGCTTATAGCTATGTATAATGGATGCCCATGATTTGCATCATTAAAATCAGTACACTTGTGTGAAATTGAATTTGAAATGAGGCAAATATAAGTCTATAAATCAACCTGTCGTATTTGGTAATGTAGATTCGATGACTGTCGGTCATCATTTTGGGGTGATGCCAGTGACCAAGGTTGATCTCTAAGTTGGTGGGGTAGTAGAATGTTCCAGTATCTGTTTTAACTGTTACTTGTCTCTGAAATAATGTTTCCGATTTGAAGATTTCTTTACTTGGATTAAAAGCTGTACAAAATTACCTATACTATTCATTAAGTCTAAATATCAAACTCTGAAAATGTAAACCGAACCATCAAATCAAGCGCAAGCTAACCTGCTATAATACAAACGATCACTTACGAATTTTATCTCCCCCGAAACTTTGCCGTGAGAAGGTTGTTTGTAAAAAAGAGCGTAGAGGTGCTTCTCAGACTTCCCTGTACTCAAAACGGGGTTCATGTTGGCGCACGAGTACGGCTCGTCATTGTTACCGTAACCCAGACGGATAGAACTGGGGGACAGGATCGTAGAGTTTACCATTAACAATATTACAGTCATTTAAGAAATACGACTATAATACTATAAAGATCCTCGAGTTCCCAGTCGAGCTTGTAGGTTTAGGTACAACCTGCAAGTACAAACCCACGCGTCTCATCGCTAGGTCTGATATTTGATATTTATTGAAACACGTATTAACATTTTAAGAGTATCATCCGTAAAAGTTGAGTAGACGAGCTAAAAGTTCATTGGTTAAATGACGATCTAATTAAAGTCTGTGTGAAACGAGGCCGTTACCCTTTTTTATTTACCTGTACATTGGAGAATAGGAAGGACTGAAGAAGTCGTATTGAGCGGTTTTACTGGACTGACTGATTGTTTTAGCGTTACCCTTGAACATATCGTCAATTGCACTGAGGTTTCCGCTAGGAGCATCACCTGCAGAGTGGGTAAGATAACGATATAAACATTTTAAAATCTAGTGAAATTGTATTGTAATTAATAAATTTAAAATTCGCGTTCGCCATTTTTTATGCAATCCGTCGGCCGGACACATGTGTGCGTGGAAACGTTTATAACTATAAGCCCACCAAGTGAATTTGAACTTACTTCCTTCAGCGTTGTTAAAGTTGAGCACGTTTCCAAGGACCTCTTCACTACATGCTAAGAAGGGGTAACCACTGAGGAAGAAAGATGTGAGGAGGAATTGTAGTTTTGGTACTAGGAAAACAGCAAGAAGTGCCAAATTAAGAAGCCTTCTTATTTTATGGCACTACTTATACTTTTAAGTTTCATCAGAGTAAAGCAAGAATGTGCGTGGTGTGAGGAGACAGACAACTGGCGAGACAAAACATTAAACCAGGTCACGTGGCCGTTTAAAATATTAAATTGAACAATTACTTATTTAATAAGTTATTACATGATCTCTAAATACCCGCTAAATACCCGCTAAAAACCCGCTAAATACCCACTAAATACCCACTAAATACCCACTAAATACCCGCTAATATACCCGCAAAAGAAAACCGCTAAATACCCTCTAAAAGTAAATACCCGCTAAATACTCGCTAAAACCCGCTAACCTCTCACTAGTAGCGACACGTTTCTCGTTAAGAGTAAGAGAAGTTGTAGCTCCGAGGATTGAAGAGAAAGCTGCAGTCCACGTCATACTGTTACTGCTATCATCATACGAGAATTTTACCGATCCATCTGAAATGTTATAATGTCAGTAGTTTACTTACTCGTGTTATTATTAAAGTATTAATCATGATGCCAGCCTTGCACAAAGAGCGTGACATACGTGTTCAGACAAAGTATTAATTATCAGCTCAATGTAATTGTACATGGTGGGCGAGGAAGATTCAATTACAAAAGTAAAAGCCAAGTATCATGATATCATTACTTTTGTATTCGAAACTCGCCCACCATGTACATTTGCAGTGAGTATTTTTATTTCTGATAAACAAACAGCAAAAGTTTAGGTCACAGAAAAGTGCGCTAAATACAACTCCGTACCAGTATCAAACAAGCTTTTCTTGGTATCTGTGTCGTATTCGGAGATAATCGCCTCAGCAGTCATACCTCCAACTTTCTGAAAGAAAATACGTTTTTTAAAATAAAATTAACATCTTCAAAGTAATTAAAAAACTGCCCTTTTTCAAAGAAAAGAAAATTTTTCCTTTTTTGTATTTATCTAGTAAACTTAATGAAGAGAAACTCCGATAGTCCCCTCTTTCTGTTTAACATACCGCCATAAAAGTGGACAAAGACCGAGGACGTCAAGAACAACCCTGGAGATCCAGATTGTAACTGAACACACAAAGGTGACAACAGACTTGCTTATATTTCGAGTTGAGCAGAAAGAACATTTAACTAGCATTAATATTGAGAAAATATGTCTTATAGTACAGTACAGTGATAAACTATATAACTCTACTTCGACACAAAATTGTTAAATAAATAAATACAATTATACTCTACTTTGCAAGACTTCTTGTATAAGCCTTCAATTCAAACGTATCTCAACTTGGCCCACAGTCAGTGTAAGCAGGGTCGTAGTAGTCGTATGATTTTAATGATCACTTAATGATATTTCTATGTTGTGACAGTAACAGTTGTAACACTCCCACAATATCGCCATGACACTATATAATCTCTTTTAAGTGTTACGACGATCTTATAATTGGGTATAATGATCCAATTATTGAGAGATAAACTTTGATAGTCCCCCCCCCATAGCTTATCATAGGGGGGGGGGGGGGCACAAAGGAGACCAAGCACCCCTAGACCTCAAGATTTTAGTTCAGCACATACAGGACACAATAGAATTGCTCATAGTTCAAGTTCAGCAGAAAGAGAATTAGTACAATCTTTAAGAACACTTCTCTTTTACGATGAAAGTAGGATTATCCTACACTCACTCTGCTATTCAAAACTAATGGCTTGGGGAAGAGAATGCTTTGTGTTAATGTCTGTTACCTTTCACAGTCTAAACTGGGCCTCTGATTTTGTAGTAAGTGTTGACATTGCCTAGAAATGAAAGCCCCTGATTCACTCGTAACTCGAAGCTCCATCTTGTAAGCCACAGTGAGTGTAAGCGTGAGTCAAAGTCGTACAAGTAACGTTATTTGAATGATCACTTGACGATCTTTCTATGTAGTGACAGTAACAGTCGTAACACTCCCATATTTTATACAGGATGGAAAACTCAACAGCCTTCGTTTCGACAGCAGCTTGGACTGAACCGATTGGGGTTCAATCTTCAACCGTGCTGCAGATGTAACGTACGCTTTTATCTGCTGCTCATGTTTTCTTATCGGGACATTGGGAAACATTGTCAGTTTTCTGTACTTCAAAACGAAAAGAAAAGAAATTTCGACTGTTATCTACACGATGATAGCGGTTAATGATGTGCTGATAAGCATATTGATACTACCCATAGGATTATCATACTGGTCGGAAAGACAGCCAGGTCTCTTGTTCGGAAATGAAATCGGTTGTGGAGTTTTCTTTTACCTATGGGACACAGCACTGGCATTAAGTATCTTTCTTGTCATTTGTTTGAGTGTGACCAGAACAATATGTCTGCTCAGTCCTTTCACACAACAAAAAGTAAAATATCTGGTTTTTGCTGTTGTATTGTACGTAGGGTCTACGTTAGTTGTGTCGATAAGAGCCCAGACGCTAGAAGGTGCTAAATTAGCGTTTCTCCCTTGGTACGCCCGAGTTGAATTAATGTTTACACAGACGGCTGACCAAGGCGTACTTCTTGCCTTTGAAATCTTTAGACTCTTAGTCTACGTTGCACCTGCATTTGTAGTGGTAGTGAGCTGTGTTTTATCAGCTGTTTTACTGACTCAAGGCAGTGAGGAAATGCAACAAAGAGACTTGCAACGCTCCCGAAACAGAGCGACAGTTACCATTTTACTATTCGCTCTGCTTTATGGGGCGTGCAATATTCCACTTGCAGTTAATATATTCTTACTAACATGTTGCTGGCACACGGGCAATATGGAGTGGTACTATGGTGTGTACCAGTTTGATACACAATACTACTACTCCAACGCCACTACCACTCTGCTTATAACTGTTAACTCGGCAGCTAATCCCATTCTTTACTTTTGGAGACTACCTCCTCTGAGGGAATTCACTATCGCAGCGACCAGAAGAATACTGAGGCTGAACAGAGAAGTACAAAGACCTTCAACTAATGTAACCCAACAAGGTGCTGCAAAAACAACAGTGTTTCAGAACAGTGCTGATCCTGAGGTGATAGCTGTACAAACTGGATTGTAAATAAGAACATTTGTTGTTACATTGAGAGGTTGGCACAAGCCTCGTTTCACTTAAAAACTGACTGGTTTTCCCGTTAGTTATTTCTTGATAACAACTACCAAGTTGAAGAAGGAGCGGTAGTCGGTACCCTATTTACTTATATGAACTATAAAGTTAAAGCTACATGTAAGTGGTGCATTTAGGCTATCAAATTGAAGACTACCAATATTATAGAGAAACTTGCTGTCACAACTATATCTAAGGATATTCGAAAGAAGCTCGGTTGACGATCACGAGGATTGGTGATATTGATTAATTAATATATATTTAGGACAATTTTCTTGTTATTCTAAACAATGCTATATCTTTTTTTGCTGAAAGTTTGTGGTATTAATTGGTAATATTGTGTCAAAAGCCCCCTACGATCCATATGTCACCTCACGAAAACATTTTTCATACTTCTTAAAATGGCTTAAATAATATTTCTCTCTAAATATCGAGCCTTTTGTGTAATTCAATTTCAAATAAAAATATAGGTCCAATTTAATTACAGTTACGCGAAAACTGAATCATTTAATCAGTAGGGCAGATTGCCAAGGTGTACCGTGTAATCTAAAACCAAGTGGAGCATACCCACTATTGAAAAAGCTAGCACCTTCCATGACACTTACCTTAAGTGCGGCACAGTCGAGGTTGTTCCTAGTTACACTGCCAGATGTGGTGTATGTTAGGACAATGTTACTGGGTATGATGGTATTGGGATCTCCTGACATCTGGAGAAAGGGGTCGTGCAGCACTTGGGTGAACCTGTGATGGTGACCATGGTTACAGTAAACAAAGGTGATATAGTTAACTTAAAATGTACCACTTTGGTTGTTATTCTAATCGCTGGTAGGTTGAATGGTATGTGAACTGATGGGTCGACTCACTTGACTTCTCCAGTAAGCAGCTTCTGAACTTCAAGGAGCCCCATTCTAGTCTGAGTGTAACCCCGGGGACAGTTGTAGTAATAATCGGGGCTGGTACAGACTGAGTTGACGCCTAGATCACCACCAACGTTGTAAGCGTAGAAAGGGTTCCATGAAGAGGGAGAGGGACATCTGAGATTGATTGAGGGATGAGTTAGAGGATAAGCTGGTAAGAATTAAGCGTGTGTACTGCGTACGTATAATACACAGGGGCCCCGGGACTGGTACAGGGTTCCCCAAAAAAGACTATCCAGTTCGAAACTCTTCCCATTTCCATAAAACAAACATATTCAGTTACAAAAAGGTTGGGAGATTACTTTACAATACTAATAGATCAAGATGGTTACAATTCACTTCAGCACATGCTCCAAGTGCTTCCCCTTGCGGCTGATGCAAACACTAATCCTCTTACAGAAGTTGGATATTACGCCATTACAAATGAATGCTGGTATGGCTCTAATCTCCTCTTCAACGGACCGTTTGAGCTCGGGAATGGTCCTAGGCTTATTTATATACACTTTGCCCTTCAGGTAGCCCCACAGAAAGAATTAGCTCTTACAGAAATGTAAGAGCTAATGTATTTTATAATCAGCTGTGTTCATTTGGTAAAAAGGGAGAGGCTTCGGTGCCAACGTAAGGCTACTTAAATTCACATTAGACTACTCCGATAAATCCTGTGAACCAGTAAGGCAAATGGATATATGCGAAACATCTGAAGTTTTGTAAGTTAAACAATTAACATATTCGAAAATTAGTAAGTACTGTAAGTTAAACTCTCTTTACCTGTTTACAAGTGTGTTGTCCTCATTTCCTTTTGTTGTTGTGAGGTACAGAGCAACAGCTCGTTCTGTATCTGAATACAGACTGTTGTAAACAGTGACATCGTCCCATCTGTTATTAGCGTCTTGTTCCAGGATTACGTTTCCTGTGGGAATACGGTGAGATACCAAGAGATTGAGATAGGAAGTTAAAATGAGTCAGCTGAATAAGATGTCAAGGCTCAAGATTGGTCTGTTTTTAGGGTATTAGTATACTTGATCATGCTCGACCATACAGTTTGGTGGAATATATAAAACGGCTGATTTCGATAGAAAATCGCTCAAAATTAAGTAAGTAAATAGTCTATTCAGGTAATGGATTAATTAATATTGTTAATCGTATATTGTATAGCTATGGCAGATATTATCGGCAGGAATTCCAGATGACAGATCAAAAACCTGGTGTCGCTGATATTATTAATGAAATGAAATATTGCATTTATATCCCGCTCATATCAACAACCAATAATATGAGGAAAATCAATTAATAAAACATCCGACGGCGGGTAAAGTATGCGGATGTTTTTGACAAAAAGAAAAAAGACTACCTCCGACTAGTCCGTGGAAGTCAGCAATCTCTCTGATAACAGTATTATCGTTCTTGATGTCAGCACAGTAGCTCACATCACCAACCTTGAAGAGGAAAGCTTTCCCTAGGATGCTCTTAGGTCCGTACATTGTGATCTGGTTGGTAGCTGCGATGGTAAAAGGGAGTTAGAATTCACACGGCAGTCTAAACTGTCTAAATGTTTTTTTTCTCGATGTCGTAATTGGTTTTTTATTGGTCTTTATAAAGTCATAATTTGTCGCCAGATGACAAGAAGTTGAATATGAATATTTCATAATTAATAATTTGTCCACACACTATGCTAAAAAAACTTCAAAAAAGACCAATAAAGTTATTAACTTAAATATATATTATATAAAGTTATAAAGTTACAAAGTTATAAAGTTATATAAACTTAACAGCTGAAACTTTCATGTAGGTGAACTTTATACAGTTAAATTAAAACCAACCATAGTTAGCCTTGATGAGCGCCTCCGTATCAACCCGGGTCTCCCTCTTGTCCCAGAGTAGTGCGCAGGCGGTGCTGACACTCGTGTACTGAGCCTCGTATCTTGGTCTTGCGTAGTCACCTGGTGGGGACAAGGTATCATCATGTATTGATAAATCTCTCTTCAATTATGTGCCATCAATGATAAAATTTATCATCCGTGCTTGATAAACAGGTTCGTGTTTATACTTGGCACACCATGATGAAGGTTCGAACAACGCCTTCGAATGCAGGACAATCGGGCCACAAATAATATAAATTCCTAATATAGTTGTTTAGATATCATGGTGCTATCAGTTTATGAAGCAAACTAATCACTCTGGATCACTGTTTTTTAACTTACTGACGACGGTTTTAGAGACAGTAAGAGTGTTGATAGCAGCCGGCATTCCGGATACTGTGATCTCTACTGGGTGGAAGGGAGATTCTTGCTCGAAGCTCACTGAGAACTCACTGCCTTCCTGAAATATAATTATGGAATTTACGAGTGTTACTACTTAGGTTGCCTTAATTTAGGCACTTCCACGAATCGATTCTTTTTTGTTTCTATCCAATGTCCTTACTTTTCGCTCTTGTAGTCCTAAAATTTTTTATTTTGTGCGTCTTATATCAGAACTGAGAGCTATCAAAACCTCTTCAACCAATAGTAAAAGGATTTGCATGATACCACAGCCTCTATCAGGTGCAGAAATTAGCATGGGAGGATTCATTTAATCATTTCCCTCACGATCAGATGAATATAAAAAAGTGCCCACTGCCCAGGTAGGTGATAAAAACAAGATATTTACTCTTTAAACACAATAAAAATGTTCCACCAACAGAGGGAATGAATCATGCTCTTCCACTGGAAATAAATACCTGGTTAAAGTGAGCAGTGGCAGATTTGCTCTTGATCTGGTACACAGGGTTACAAGTTGCTTGTCTGTTGCTCCTCCCCGCGAAAACCGGGTAGTTTTCCTTGACAAGGAGAGACTGTGGGACTGCTCCAGTAGTCCCCAGGATATCTCCGTTGCCGGTGTTGGAGTAGTATTCTTTTATTGCGGTGCCAGGGCTGGTGTTTCCCCACGTGTGAATATCGAAGAAATTGTTTCCAGTTTCTGTACAGCTTTGTTGTACAGTTATCGCCTGGGTTCCTATCTGAAACAAGTCAATCCTTAGCTTTTTTATTCCAGATTCAAGTGTCCTTAAAATATGTTCTCCATGTAAGTAAGCGTTTTTTATGATAACAATATTATTATCAAATATAAGTTAACTGTGTCTTATGAGACTTAATAGTTACAAAATATTCGCTCTACCTGGATACTATGAAGATGTGCATCAAGACCAGGTTCTAAGAGGTTAAGATTTGATGATAGTCTGTATCCAGAGTTTGGGGCTGCAAGTTTGCTCCTGATCATAGTCACTTCGCCGTTTATACCTTCCTTCTCCATGATCTTGGACCTGTGATTAAAAATAATGTACTGCTTTTAAAGTAATACATGTACGTACCACGCAATACATATTACATACATATACATACTACGTACCGGTACATGCTACGTCGCTTGTATCAATAGCAGAGCAAATTCGTATCTGCCCTTGGTTTGATCAACATCTTCTATCTAAGTTGGTGGTGTTTCACGTATTTTCCCTAATTATGACTTTTTCGATTTACTATCAACTTATCAATATAGTAAGTTATAAATATGATTCATCAAACAATTGATGAACACTAGTATTCGATTATTATTTGCTTTAAAAATGATTTTGGACACGTTCCCTTAAAAATAAGCAACCTCTGTAACTACTTTATTGGCCACAGCGGTAAAATTTTCGGGATTAGTGGGAGATAACAAACACTGTTGGTATACTTTACCCTCATAAGTTAAATTGTGGCTAACTTTCAAAGGCTTCGGAGAAATTGTTTAGAAGATGGAACAGCTCATCAGAAAAGATTTTTGTATTTCATTTTCTCAAATATTGGGTTTCATTTTTGTAAAATAAGGAGGTGAAAAAATCCCCAAATACCATGATTTTATTTGGGGCACGAAATGTGGCAGTTTTCGGTGAAAATTCCCATATTTTCGTTCCCAAATCATCTAGGTCACCGGAATTATGTCGAACATAAATATGTCTCGTACAAGGTAGTTATCATATCAATATCATCGTTCAGCCATTAGCTAATAATGAACCATGGCGAAGTAACAAGTCACTAGGTTCCTTACTCTGTACTGAGAAGGACATTCAAAGAAGGAGAATCCTAGCTGAGATTGCTTTTAAAAACTTTGGAAAAGTATGGTTGTCCGGTAAGAAAATTTCCCTTGAAAGAAAGCTGAGGTTATATGATGCTCAAGTTGTATCTGTATTGATTTACAACTCAAATAGTTGGAGTCCTAAGAAAGCAACCATGGAGAAAATGGACACACTCCATCGTAGACACCTCAGGTCCATTTTAAACATCAAATGGCCTAAAGGTATGATAAGCAACATGCAAAGCATTGTATGAAAGGTGCAAAGTTGAAAAGTTATCCAAGCGTATTGAACACCAGCTGTGGAAGATGTTTGGACACATTCTCAGGAGTATGGAGAACACCCCAGCCCAAACGGCTCTCTCTTTTGCTATTGAATCAGATAATTTATTCACTGGTAGATTGGGGAGACCTAGAATGAACTTGTTATCGGTTTTAAGAAGTGATTTAAGTAGTAGAAATTTGCAAATGGACAACTTACATGAATTGAACGAAATTAGAGATATAGCTGCATGCAACAGATGTTGGGAAAATCTTTTTCAAGGGTACAGTTTACCGCATTAAGGTATTTTTAAGAATCATTTTTGTCGGTAAGATCCTGTTTTATAATAATAATAATAATATCATCGTTAGCATCACCACAAAGATAACCAACTATATTAATGTAGGACTTAGCAACTTCAAGAGATTCATAAATATATTAATTAACAATGTAACCTGTAGTAAGTGCTGGTAGCATCGGCCAATATAGGAAAACAAGCTACGATCCGGTCATTGACGGTGTCGTAAAGTGCAATAGTTCTCCCAACAACATGAGTTTCTGCGGGGGTGAGGTGCGATATTATCATTGTAATCTCATACAATTAATTTAATATTATATCCAGGATACATTATCTCGAGTATTTGTGAGCTTGTGATGAAACAACGTTAAACCTTGTCACGACCTATATGTTATGAGTATATGATTTATACCCCCCTCGCTGACTATGAAATGTTGTCTCCCTGGTTCAATATTCATATTTAGAACCCTTCTACCAATCAACCCTCAGAGAGAATTTTCAATAAACTTGCACAACTTTGATCCTATGTGCTCGGTACGGTTTAAACTATTTCAAAATTTCATTCAGATATAAGACAAAGCCGTGATCCCACAATCTGCACCTACCAGAAGGTGTAAAGGTAGTAGCAGCAACATTATCTCCTTTGTTGGCGGTCCTGATGAGTCCTAAGTTAGAGACAGCAGTGGCCACGTTACCGGTCATTACTCCTCCGATGTAATCCACGGGATCTTTTTTACTGAAACGATGCAAATCTAAATACCTTGGTTCCGAAAATTTGAGTACCATAAATTTGGGCAGGAGATTTGTTTATTTACCACAGATATAATTTGTCATTAATTTAATCTAATTTGCCATCAATTTGAATGCGGAACATTTGGGCGAGAGAGCCCAAATGGTTTTGGGAACTATTAAGGTACGCCATCTTTTCTGTGGCTATGATAACGGTGCGCAGATTTACCAATGTCGATGTTTTACCGATGATGTTTGCTTTAAAAATATTTTAACTGGTTTTAGCTTACGAGAAGTCGGTCAGGAATTCGTGAAGCTTCATAGTGTAGTCAACAGTCCCAGGGATTGCAACGTTTACGTATATTTTACCTGCATCTGCCTGTCCTTGCGCTCCCTGAGAAATTAACCACGATGTCAACAAATTATTTGTGTTCCGCTGTAATTGATAATTAAACAATCAAAATATAATCAACAGTGTTGTTAAATTTACCTATTTTAAAAATATCAGCAAGAAATCAGCAGTGAAAAACTGTATGGTAAACTTACGAAAACAAACTTTATGGTACCCGAGATGTCTACACTACCATCTGGAGTCAAGTGAACAACACCGTTCAGTTCAGCATCAGATGCCAATGTCACGCCTGAGAGACAAAGGTTAGGATAACCTATTTCATGAAGCTTGAAGCAAGGTGTTCACTTTCACTTCCACACAAACCGCGACATAAAGAAACTGTTTAGAAATAGTCATTACCCAAAAGAGCAGCAAAGATGAACAGCTTCATCTTCGAGGATTACTTTAAATCTTCTAGTGCTATAGACCTTGAAGAGAAATGTGAGTTCGAGTAAGTTTTCGAATATTATATCTTCCAAAATAAAATCACAAATTAACCACAATAGTCTAAAATGAAAGTTTCAGAATAGAACCGCGTCGTCTAATTAATCAATCAAAAAATGTTTGACTTGTATGATAGATGTATTGTATTATTTAAAAATAATCACACAAACAGTTACTTTACAACACGACAGATGCTAGGCTATGAGCATGACCAACTTTAAACAAGCAGTTGTCGTGAAAAGCACTAAAAATGACCACGATAACCACACTGCAGCCTCACTTCCGGGTTTAAACTATCTAACTCACTCGGCTGTATCCCAGTAAAGTGAGATGTACAGAATGTAAACAAAGAGGTATCATCCTTTTAAACAAACACAAATTTGAATGGGTGAGAAGTAAGAAAATTAAAAAGAACACTTTAGTTTAAAATCTTAACAATTTTATACTCAATTTTTGATACTATCTGGTATGATCACAAAATGATGCCGATGATAAAATCATCTGATCATACATCTTGAAAATGTTGATGGAGGATTCTTACATGTTACACCGTGACCCATTTTTCAAGCTCCTTAAAAATTTGGATGATGATTAATCACTCTAAGTCTACACTCGACTGTCACGTGACTTTTTTAACCCGTTCTCTAGCTAGTTCCGAACGATTTTTCGAAGCCCTAACCCTCTAATCTGATCCCAACCCTAACCCAATCCTTAACAAAAACATATGCTGAAACCCTAACCCTAACGAGAAATTAGACTAACTTCTTTATAGTTAGTTATACGGTCATATCACTTGATCGAAACAGTTTTTCGCCAATATCTCGTCAGGGGAGCATTTTAACCCTATGTCATGGGGGTGATTCGGAATCAGCGTCCAAAAATACATCGATTGAAGTTGGTTACAAATACAACCGTCGGGGGCCCTTTTAGAACAATCTCGAAGATCGACTGTAGAGTGATTTAGCACACTCGTAAAAATTTCAGTTCCATGAAAAGGAAGTAAAGAATGAGGGGCTGCAACAAACGTAGGTTAGATCAATTTAAAATAGGCTAATTACAGGGTTTTTGATAACGAATAATTTTCCTCTCCCTTGAATTTCGTCCAGCTAATAAATATCTTGATAATTTGTTGTACAACTTTTTTATTTGCTTCTTACACGACGCGCGGTCATAGTCATACAGTAAGAATTTAGATCAGGGAAACTCATGAGTTTATTTATTAATACTTAATAGACACACGCGGTGATGTGAAAACTAATATCAAAAATGCACGAGACAATTCATACCAAAATGGTCACGTGACTATACCTCAAAGGGCACGTGCTTCAAGATATTGACCGTAAGTATTGCTCCCGGAAAAGGAAAAGACAGCTCAGTGTTTGTTTGTTTAATGGAATAGAATTTAACCCCAGTTCAAGAGCCGCCCAACTATCATACCACGTGACACGGAGGTCAATGACACGATCAACGATAGCAACAATTTAGAGATTGTTATCATACTTCTACCCCAGTGTATAAACAACCTTGTATCTATTTCTATCACCGATTTGCAACTGTTTAAACATACCTAAACCCCTTAATCCTTTATTGATGCCATTGCCAAAAGAAAATATATTATTTTTTCGTAAGTTAGAGGCTAAATTGCTTATTGGTTTATCAATACTCTTATTTAAACTTTGTGGTTTTAGTTGCCTTTTCATGATGTTCATTGCTTTTTCAAATTTTAATAAGCAATATAAATTGGTGGGTTGGATAAAATTGATCAATGTCCTCCGCAGTTCAACAAAATCAAATTAAATTTCAGCAACTTTTTTTGTAAGTTTGTAAAAAAGTTTTTACTAATTCAGACTTTCAGTTTCCCAGCACAGCAAAAAAATGAAGTTAGTTGTGTTTGCAGTATTGATCTCAGCTTGTTATGGCCTCAACTGCCATGTCTGCCTGGAGTCGAACTTGAACGACCCCACTGTTAATGGGCTCATCGAAAGTGCTGGTAGGTACAACCAAATGTTTACGGTACAAATAATATTTAGTAAGCAGCATAGATATGTGAGAATACTTTGTTGGAAATATGATATAATCTAAAATTAAAATTAAAAGCGATCTCTCCACCTTCAGATCCAGCTATAAGAAGACACTGCCTGGCTGCTGATGTAAGCAAGGTGTGTGGAGAGGGGTTCGATACTTGCTTCGATACTGAGCTCAAGTGAGTCAAGATTATATCGAAGTCTAATCATTCGTCGAGATTCGAGTCTAGTATAAACCAATTAAATAAATGCTTGTGAAAAGGTAAAATAAAGAGTCTCCTCAGATACACGTGGGGTGAAAAGACGGGGAACATAACGTCCAGGGGTTGCAGTAAGAAGGACAACCCGTCAACTGTTGAGTACGACTGTTCCAATCTCAAATACGTTCTTAAAACCGACACCAAATACACGTTCAATGCATGTACGTACTGTTTATTTTACTTCTCATATTGTAACATTCTTGAATTATAATTGAAACAGTTTCTGAGCAAAATTCGAACGATGTCAAATGCTATCTGTTCGAACTTATCTTTATCAAAATATTAACATCTCCCTTTCCTCAGGTGAAGACATGTACTGTGACGATGATGATTGTAACTCAAGCACTACCCTTCTCTTGTCTGCTGCCCTTCTTGCAGCAGTCTTCTACTACCACTTGTAGATCAACTCATTTGTGTTTCTAGGATAACTTGCTGAGATCTTGTCAAGAATATTTTTAGACCAACTGAAAATGAGACTTTGCTGAAATTGAAGCTATAACTATAACTATAATACTATAAGAGAGATTGATATACATTTATTTACCTATGACCGATATTGTACAGTTAAATATTTATCAGACTAGTTTACTTTTTAATAATGTTTTACCTAAAATCTAATTCTGATGTAAACAATAAATATGGATTTAATTTGTACTATAAAAAGAAATTCACCACGCACGATTGATTTAAAATCATATCTTCCTCAAAAAAAGCCTGTTGGGTCTCCTACATGCCATTAAAGAAGGCTATCAAAAGGGGGATGATCCATTTTCCGTGAAAATAAACTCTCCAGCTTCGTTGATCAAGTGGCTATAAATGCCCAAAAGAATTTAAAAACAAAAACCGTAACGTTCACCGTTCTAGAAATATATACCCCTTATTTGGCCCCTTATATTGAAGGTCTTTATAGTTCCTCTGATTGAATTAAAATTACCTCTAAGTTGACAGACTAAACGATTAGAACATGAGGTCGATAGAACTTTAAGTCCTACAGTAGCCCTACGTATTTGATCCCTTTATATCTGATACAGTGCCCGGAAGGCGGAGAACATCGCATTTTAGTATATCACCGTGATAGGTTGTTATCTTAGTAATTTTGAAGTCAAGGATGTGTAGGGATATAAAGAAGATAAGGTTATTTAGGGCCACCGAAGGATAAATGTTACTGTTACTGTATCTTTATATAGGTATGTTATGAAAGGAAAATCATGAAACTTGTCAGATATAATCAGCCAAATTTTACTGTTTTGATTCAATTTTTATCCGATGACCCGCTAGTGAGTTCACTGTGGATTGCTCTAGACACGATTGAGGTACTGAAAGCTAAATTAGCGACAAAAGCTTTGTTAAACGGAAAATCATTTATAGAATAGAAGGAGACATTTTGGAAGATTTTTGAATGGAAGCTTTTCTGCCGTTTGCTTGACCGAAATGTCACAGTTTTGACTTTATTTTTGACCAGTGACCGATCATTCAAGTGTGCCAGCGAAAAAAAGTCATGATCGAGGTACTGGAAGTGGAAGCTAAATATCCGGAGAAAACGTTGAAGAAAGGAAAATCATAAAAATGTCCTACCAGTAGGAAATTTTCAAATATCAACTTTCTGTGACCCAAATTACACTGTTTTGATGGAATTTTCTTCAATGACTTATAAGTGAGTTCACTGTCGAAGGAAAGAGACACGAATGAGGTACTGCACTGAAAGTTAATAGATTACATAAGAATGCTTTTATAAACGGAAAATCATCAGAATATAGAACCTGGAGACATTTAAAAAAATTTCCAAATGAAAGCTGTTTACCTTGACCAAAATTGTACAGTTTTTACTGAATTATTGACCGCAGTGACCAATCAGTGAGGTAAGTTTGACGAAAAGCCTGCATGATTGAGGTACTTGAAGCTGAATATTGTGCGAAAGTTTTAATGATCTTAGAAGGACTGTTTTATAAAGTTAATAATGTCCATGGCGATAGATATTGACGACTGACGTGCATTAAAACCAATTGCATGGACTTGTAGTCTTGGCGATGGAAATTGAAAGTTATAGACCGATGAGAGGTACGAAATACGAATAAAAAGGGAATTTCACGTTAATTGCTTATTGCGATCCATTATGAGTGGCTCGATATATGACATTGGCCATTACTCATCACGATGACTTTGATGTTCGTGGTCAGATATTATAGTGTAGACTTTTACAAAAATCCTGATAAAGCAAATTATTTGCCATTTTTTCAGATTGACGAGTCACGAGTTTTTCAGTTTTACTAAAAACGTGCTACATTCCGGTAGCACCCAGAAAGTAACGGTTTGTTATTCTACCAAACCACAAACACTGGGCGGGTCTGTGGGCTCTATATTAAGCTTGATAACAATGAAGTTCAAAGCGAGTGTTTTTTTAACGTGAAAACTTCCGGGAGAGATATCTGTGTTGACACTGTTAGTTATACTGCGATCACGTGACCACTGTTAGTTATACTGCGATCACGTGACCACAGTTATACTGCGATCACGTGACCACTGTTAGGACTGCGATCACGTGACCACTGTTAGGACTGCGATCACGTGAGTACTACTTGCTCACAAAATGTTGTAATGTAGACAGCTGAACACGCCATGTCTTGGATATTGATTATTGTGGCAATTTTACCCAGCTTTTAGAAGTTGACATACCTTTTCGTTCCAATTGTTGACAGGAATATCTATTCGAGGCCTTGTTGCTAGTCTTATAAGTTCTATTGTGAACGGCCTTAGATCTAAATGCAAAAGTTCTTTCCATTTCACGATTTGAACAATTATTGAAGATAATTTATTTTTTGTTCCTACGTCTATCTGATTCAATATGCTAACCATCTTCTCTCAGCTCACTTGAGGTTACAATATGAAAGTCTTGTTGGTGCTTACTCTCGTAGTTTGTGCTGTTGAAGCGAATAGGAAGTGTTGGAAGTGCATCCAATCTGACAGCGAGAACTTCAGTGATGACGCCTTGGAGCAATACAGTGAGAAATGCCTCCTCCTATTTCCTTAGCTGATACTATTTTCGTTACCTATTTTAATTGAAACCTTGAAAATTAGTTTTGATAACTCTTCTTTTTTTCCAGATCTTCCAACTTGTTCTAACGAAGATGCAGCAGAGTTCGAGTGCCCCAACTACTACGATAGATGCTTCAGTTCCAATGCGACGTAAGTATCTGATACCGCATAAAGCGATAATATCCTATAATCTTCTACCTCATAACTCAAGACTTATCCACTGGAGAATTTCCAGTCTCTACGGACTTCTTCGTGACTCAGAATCATCCGATTGAGTTATAATTCAAGTCACAACAATCTATATAAAAGTATAAACACCCAGGGTAAATTACAACGCAAAGAAAGTACTGGTGACATCCCGAGGGTGCACGGACAAGCTGGACCACTACAATCCTGTTGGCTGGACCTGTTCTTGGCTCGAGAAAACTCTTGGAAGAGGCGTGTGGGGCTCATGTAAGTCACCGACTTAGCTTAATAAATCTCTCTCTATTTGTTCCATAACAAATAATCAAGCATCTTTCGCGAAGTCTTGATTTAAGTCTAAACTGCTCACAGTATTCACTGTCATGCTTTTAAAATACACCATTTTTAATAAAGATGCCCCTGCAGGTGAAGACCAGTATTGTGAAATGGATCTGTGTGAGACTGATGAATGGTTCAGTGGAACCAGCACTCTCACCATCTCATCTCTATTAGTCGCACTCACCACTGCTCTCGCTCTTTAAATACAAGGAATAATGTTCTGTCCCCTCTCTGTAAATTAATGATTCATAGGCGATGGTACGAGCAGCTGTAGTGTTTGATTCACAAAATAAAATGGTTGTCGGTATTGATTGATTTTAAAAAGACATTTTTTAGTTTATCTTATAATTTTTCGTTCAGTAATTGATTGACTCATTGGGATTTTAAAAAGCTAGAATGATAACTCATATTGTATACAAATATTGGACTATTCGGAGATAAAAATAAATATTGCTTTTACTTATTCTCGATATTAATAACTATATAAACCTAATCATTCTGAAAAAAATACAACAAGTAGTACTACTAATATGTACTTTTTAATCCAACATATTTCAAATGGGAAATCTTAAAAGCTCCTGATTTAGTTCTTCTCTTTCTTCTTTCTCCTTTACAATAAAGCCGTAGTACATACATACAGGGTGTTTCGAGACTCCTGTCCAAATTTCGAATGGCTCTCAAAATCTAAAAAATGAGACAAACGGTCTAATTTTTGTTTTAAATTGTAGACAAATTATTACATTTTAAAATACATAACAAAAATAAATCTAATATTTCAACAATTTTTCGAACCAAGCCCCCTTTCTGCATAGAAGGTTTTGAACCCTCGGAAGCATATTGTCTATTGCACGTTTTACCATGTCAATTTTTAACTTTTTAGCCTCCCTTCGGATATTGTTTTTTAGCTCATCTACTGTTTGTGGGACTGGGTCTGAATAGACACGTTCTTTCAGATAGCCCCACAAAAAGAAATCGGCCGGATTCAGGTCAGGGCTGTAGGGAGGCCAGCTGAACTCAGCTCTCCTCGATATCAGTCTTTCCCCAAAATGCTCCTTCAGCCAAGCCAAACTTTCGTGCGAACAGTGTGGAGGGGCCCCGTCTTGTTGGAATATACAGGAATCAAGTATTTTTTTTCCTTTTAAGTACTGGGATAACTTTTCCACGCAACATAGTAATGTAATTTGCTGTCCTTATCGTCTCTGCCTTCTCTTCTTCATTCTCGAAAAAGTGGGGTCCGAAGACACCATGGTAACTGAGGCCCATCCAAACAGTCACCTTTTCTCTGGTTTTTGGACCTTCCACGGTGGCATAGGGTTGCTTATCTGACCAGATTCGGGCATTCTGAGTATTAACCCACCCTGATAGTTGGAAGTGAGCTTCATCGGAGACAATAAGGTTCTTCAAAAAGTTTTGATCAGACTCAATTTTGCTAGCAAATTGCTTGGCAAAGTCCACTCTTTGCTGCTTGTTGGCTGCCGTCTGTTCTTGCAACATCTGAATTTTGTATGGGTATTTGCCCAACTCCTTTCTCAAGATCCTCCAAAAGGTTGTGGTAGATAGCTTAGTTCTCTTAGCGATGTTCCTTACAGAACGTCGAGGGCTTTTGTCAAGGATTTGGTCGACTTTTTTGATGTTTTTCTCATTAACTGCCGTTTTTGCACCCCCACCTGTTGGTTTCCTTCTGAGAGTCAATTCTCTCTCAAATTTCGTCACTTGTCGCTGAATAGTCCTAAGATGAATTTTCCTGCCTGCATTACTGTATTTCTTTGAAAGTGCCCTCCTAGCAGCAGTCCAACTACTTCCGTTGACATAAAAAAGCTTGACCATGTCTACTCTCATTTCGTCTGATATGCCAGATTTTGACATTTTTTCGAAGAAAATTTCGAAAGGATACAAATTTGCGAAAAGATGAGTTTTGAAACGAATATGTGAGAGATAACTAAAATGTAAGGTATAACCAGCATTTTAAAACCGATTGCATCTAATTTTGCTCCTTCATAAAATTAAAAATTAAAATTTTAAATTTGGACACGAGTCTCGAAACACCCTGTAACATTTAATTGCGATATTACACCTACATTGCAATGAAAACTGCGATGAAATGCCGCGCATTAATACAGGCGTACGTTTATAATGAAGGGAGCCGAACATGACCAATGACAGTCGGTTTCCAATCTTCCTTTTCACTGAATTCTCGTTCAGTCTGTTGCTAGATCCTTAAGGGTATGTCATGAAGATGTCAGCGTACCCAGTTCTGAAAAGTGCGGCTAACAAGGCAAAGTTCATCATTGTTGTTAGCAAAATATCGGATGCTGTTGATCAATGTCCTGTGATGACGTGTCACGTGATGTGTTCAAATATGTCTTGCGATGACGTGATGTGTTCAATAAAGTTACTGAGGTTATTTAAACTATCAAAAAAGATACCAGGTGCTCTCATAAGCTCGAATAATTAATCTGCACGCCTGTCTCAATTTCTAATGCCTGCTCTCGTAATTCGTTGCTACGTACTGCTTGTAGATCGTTGATTTGATATATAAACCTTGGCTATAATGTATAATGTCTACTGCTAAACAGAAAACATCATCGGTCTGGTCATACTACTCAGAGGAATGTGGGACCCCGTATGCACGTTGCAACAAGTGCTCAGTCAACTTGCTGCTTGCCTATCAGAATTTCAATTATGACTTTCATTTGGTTGAAGATTGAACGGAAATTAGCTAAAAATTTTTAGGTGGGGCACGAGAACTATTAGTTAGACTGTAAACACTATCTTATTGTGTAATTCCACATGATAATGACAAATATCTAAAAATAAGGATAAACATTTAAATTTTCCGGCAAGTTCCGGCTGCCTTATATTTTACCCTCCAAACACCGGTTTTGGTCCGGCAGAATCCGGCTAACTGGATAGTAAATTGATATCCGGCAAGATCCATTTTTTTATGGAATGTCCCATCCAATGTGTCATTTAACAGGATAAAAACTTTCATATAACCAACATCCATGATAGAAAAGTTCCGCTTTGATATTTGAAATGGGACTTAACTGTTAAAGTGTTAAACCCATAACAACCCAAATTTGTCTAAACATAAATGAAGATCTTAAATTCCTTCCAGCTGTTGCAATATATAAACACTGTTTGAAACTCACCTGTTAGTCTAATACAAAAATATGGAGTAACTTTGGCAGTCATCATAAGCACGCGTTACCTTTTGACTTGATGTTGTGTATTTGGCGGTACATGAACAAATGAAAAAACTTCTTTTCAGTAAGATACGACAAATTAATACTTTAATAATGAAAAAAAGAACAATTAAGAACCATAAACTTAATCATATATATCAGTATATCTATAGACAGTTTCTCAGAACATTGACCCTCGTTTTTGTTACAAAAGAGAATCATTTAATTGAGCAGCGTTCATTTCAAAGAAGGATGGATGCAATTAGAACGGAGAGGAGTGATACGGAGGCGGCGAAGGTGTTGGAGGAGTTGCATCTATTGTCAGCACAAGTATAGATCTTACAACTGTCAACATCATCCATCAGAGTATCCAGCGTGGTGTCGCATGTACCGTCTGTAATGGTAAATTATCATTATCGTACTTGTGTGCTGTAGTTAGATAAATCATGTAGTAAATCATCATTATTGTAGATACATTTGGCAGGACTCTGGTTGACGTTACTAATTTACTAATAATAGTTGTTGTTTCACATTCCCAAAGTGCTTACTAGTTACTAATTGCTTAATTGATCCATAATCTTATTTAAACATTTTCATATAAAAAGGCACGTTAACTTTATCTGAATTTACCTAGGAACCTATAAAAAGGTAGGTTAACTTTATCGGAATTTACCTAGGAACTTATATAAAGGTATGTTAAATTTATCGGAATTTACCTAGGAACTTATAAAAAGGTACGTTAATTTTATCGAAATTTACCTAGGAACTTATAAAAAGGTAGGTCAACTTTATCAGAATTTACCTAGGAACTTATATAAAGGTATGTTAAATTTATCGGAATTTACCTAGGAACTTATAAAAAGGTACGTTAACTTTATCAAAATTTACCTAGGAACTTATAAAAAGGTACGTTAACTTTCTCGGAATTTACCTAGGAACTTCTCATTTTCATATAAAAAGGTACGTTAACTTTATCGAAATTTACCTAGGAACTTATAAAAAGGTACGTTAACTTTATCGGAATTTACCTAGGAACTTCTCATTTTCATATAAAAAGGTAGGTTAACTTTATCGGAATTTACCTAGGAACTTATAAAAAGGTAGGTTAACTTTATCGGATTTTACCTAGGAACTTATAAAAGGTAGGTTAACTTTATCGGAATTTACCTAGGAACTTATAAAAAGGTAGGTTAACTTTATCGGAATTTACCTAGGAACTTATAAAAAGGTAGGTTAACTTTATCGGAATTTACCTATGAACTTATAAAAAGGTAGGTTAACTTTATCGGAATTTACCTAGGAACTTATAAAAAGGTAGGTTAACTTTATCGGAATTTACCTAGGAACTTATAAAAAGGTAGGTTAACTTTATCGGAATTTACCTAGGAACATATAAAAAGGTAGGTTAACTTTATCGGAATTTACCTAGGAACTTATAAAAAGGTAGGTTAACTTTATCGGAATTTACCTAGGAACTTATAAAAAGGTAGGTTAACTTTATCGGAATTTACCTAAGAACTTCTCATTTTCATATAAAAAGGTACGTTAACTTTATCGGAATTTACCTAGAAACTTATAAAAAGGTAGGTTAACTTTATCGGATTTTACCTAGGAACTTATAAAAAGGTAGGTTAACTTTATCGGAATTTACCTAGGAACTTATAAAAAGGTACGTTAACTTTATCGGAATTTACCTAGGAACTTATAAAAAGGTAGGTTAACTTTATCGGATTTTACCTAGGAACTTATAAAAAGGTAGGTTAACTTTATCGGAGTTTACCTAGGAACTTATAAAAAGGTAGGTTAACTTTATCGGATTTTACCTAGGAACTTATAAAAAGGTAGGTTAACTTTATCGGAATTTACCTAGGAACTTATAAAAAGGTAGGTTAACTTTATCGGAATTTACCTAGGAACTTATAAAAAGGTAGGTTAACTTTATCGGAATTTACCTAGGAACTTATAAAAAGGTAGGTTAACTTTATCGGAATTTACCTAGGAACTTATAAAAAGGTAGGTTAACTTTATCGGAATTTACCTAGGAACTTATAAAAGGTAGGTTAACTTTATCGGAATTTACCTAGGAACTTACCTATAAAAAGGTAGGTTAAATTTATCGGAATTTACCTAGGAACTTATAAAAAGGTAGGTTAACTTTATCGGAATTTACCTAGGAACTTATAAAAAGGTAGGTTAACTTTATCGGAATTTACCTAGGAACTTATAAAAAGGTAGGTTAACTTTATCGGAATTTACCTAGGAACTTATAAAAAGGTAGGTTAACTTTATCGGAATTTACCTAGGAACTTCTCATCCTCCACACACCCCCGCTCCTCGTACTGCTCTTCATCTTCATCGTCAAAGGAATACTCTCTTTTGTAGCACACTGCTTTAAGTCCTGAAAGTAATGGTATCAACCATCAGAACACTCGTAATATAATTTATAGGATAAACAATAATTAAAATTTAAACATAAACACAGATCTATTTTGAGTAGTAAGTTTAGCTCTATAGAGTTAGACCAGTGACTTTAGATCAAGTACCTTATCGGTCATAAATGTCGCGGACATTACTTTCACGCTAAAGACCTTAGCGTGAATAATTATGAGCGTGAATAATTATGTCCGTGAAAAATTTGGTCCGTGAAAAACTTGTCCGTGATAATTATGACCGATAAGGTATGTTTATTACTTACAGTTACTGATTGAAACTTGAACCTAAGTTCACTTACCATTGCAGACTGATTTGCCGCAAGCAGTCACATCGTCCTCCTTCGTGTCACAGTGGTAACATTGCAGAGACCAGACGGTCGTGAGACACAGCGCTAATACCAGTACCTTCATCATGATCTGACCTGGTGATGGTATTATCGGTGACCGGTGTTATAACTTTATAACTATAGAGCTTTTAAAAAAATATTGATTAAAAATTAAGTTACTCTAGATAATAATGTAAGTATCACAACAGTCAAACGTAACAAAATGTGTAATGAAGATTATTATGTTACCAAAAAATTTAGCCAAAAAGATTCAAAAAAGAATAACAGCAGCAGCGTAGATTTGCTGTACAGTTAAAACATTTCATCCAAACAATCTACTGCACTTACTTTGTTTGTTTTGCTACCCCGGAAAGAAGACATAACCACAAAATACAGCTCGTCAATGTAGCAAAACATCACGTGTCTGGGCGAAGTAAAGTTTAAATCAGGTGGCACTTCCGTTTCAGATCAAATAAGTCATAGTAAACAAACATCGAGCAACTGCTGAGGTAATAGATCTACTCGACTCTAATACTATAGCTGCAAGATAACCAGCTGCCAGACTTATTTAGCATGCACCCAGGTCTTACCGGCCCTACCCAAGCTATTCATTCGAACTAAAAGGATGTGGCTAAAATTGGCCAAGTTATTTATCAAGTTCAGCTGACTGTACCTCATCACTCATGACTACGTTCCCGATCAATGCATGTCATAATTAAAATTAAGAATCCTGAATTTATTCTATCCTACTCCCTATAGATTCCCTGTCATACATATATTTAATTGTCTGTCCAGTGTCCAGTCATCATATCAGCGAAGATGGTGATCCTACTAGTCATCATGTCTCTTGCGTCTATGCTATTGTTTAGTTAACCTATTCGCTATTGTCCTATCGAAATAAGCATATAGAGTTAGACTCAAGAGCTAAGATGAGAAGTACGAATGAGTCGGACTTTTCAATTTACTCGTATCGTACGTACTTTTCAATTCTACTGAAAAGGTCTCCTTCTAGAAATCGATCGAAGAGTTCTAAATCGCTTGTTACGGACTAATATTGAGCGTTCTCAAAAACTTGTGTTTCTATATTCCAATCGTCGATTAACTTAAAGTTTAACTTTAAGAGAAACAAGCTGTTTAAATAAGTAAATTGTCTAGTAATTTTGTAGAATTTTTGTTTTACTTTTAAATGCTTGCCTGGCCTAAGAATTCTGTGTTTAATTTGTTCGTGAACGGTATATTTTGTCTAACATCGGCAATTAACAATTACATTTTACAACGGCCCCGATGATAATAATTCAAAAACAAAAAAAATCTATCTGAATCGTACGTCGTATGAGTCGGACTTTTCAAATTTGCGTACAAGTACGTACTTTTCCCCCTAAACGAGTCCGTACTTCTCATCTTAGCTCAAGAGTGGTTAGTTGAATAAAATAATAAGATAATAGAGACCAGGTTCCAACGCTATTGTCTAACTGACAAATTTGAGCAATTAAATTCAGCATAACAAACTCAGCCTTGTTGATAACAATGCAACCTGATAGGACACCAAATATAATAGGACTGTATGTATCATTGGCATTTATTCTTAAATCTCAGCATGATTGAAATGGCTCATGCAGTTATTGAAAGGAATGGTCCATATAAACTAAGATTTATTGCTGCTTATTATTAAGGTGAATTTGCTAGCCATTATCAGTGCTCTGATCACATTTTCTCGATAGTCATATTGCTCTGGGCTGTTGTAGATTTTTTCTTTGTTTTTAGCGAGAATTATAGCGGGATGACCCGCGTCATAGACTTACTCTCGATTTCCCGGGATTTAATAAACTGCCATTATCGCGGCATTTGATAAAGACGCTCAGCACTCAACAGCCAAGGTTTTATGGCATTATAGAGCTGTAGGTGGTTTCCGAAATTGTTGTTTTTTGTCAGCTTAATCGTAAATCATGAGTTTATATGACACTGTAACAAGATTATATTATGATACTAGAAAGCCCGTGGTAACAGAGAGGAAGATAGTAGTATTCTTTGAAATAATTAATCGCATACAGAAATATTCATCTCAACTCAAGATACAGACGATTTAAATGTAAACAATTTAAACACAACGTAATTACCACAAAACCGATCAAAATGACGTTAAAACAATCATTTCACGTGCACGTGCTTGTAACAACCCTCGTTATCTTGGTTACTAATACTATGCAAATTCATATTTCTCATCTAATTTGCACGTGGGCGGTAGTACATAAGAAGAGAATCTTTCGAATTATATTATGATAGTTTACCCGTGTGTTATCCGTGCGTTATTAAATGTGTACTGTGCATAAACTTATAATGTCTGTTATGTCGTTAAATTACCGAATCACAAGCACCCCTAAGTACTGCTGTACTGGTAAACTGGTAAGACCTTTCTAAACACGCCTAAATCAAGCAATATCCTGTTAGAGACAATATTATCGTTTAAGGGGGATCATCAATCATCATGCATAATAAATATAATTGATTGATTGACAATGCCAACCTTGCAGGACATACTAATCATAAACTTTTACAGCAGACAGCTTTGAGTCCAACATTCAGTTACATAATTGCCCTCTAACTCTCTAACAACTTTATAAGAAAATTACCTAGTTGCGATGCCATACACCTTGATAAATTCCTGTTCGCGCAAGCAAAGATTCTCGGCTTCCCCCTTTAATCACATAATCCTTCATAAAACAATGAGTAAACAATAAGCGCTTGCGCTACAAGTACAAGGAAATGGAATAAAATAGAACAACAGCAATTCGGCAAATCTCGTGAGCAAGGCTGTCTCATTCCATACTTCTACAGCTAATGGCAATGCTATTGTCACTGTTTCACTTTATTGAACAGTTCGTTTGCTTTTAGTTTATCAGTGATCAGATAGAAATCCAAATACCACTTATATAGGTCAAAATTTCTATCGGCACCCATTGAGGTCTGAGGACGGTTTCATCTGTCATTAAATGTTTTATATTATTATTATATAGGTAATTAATGCAAGGCCGGGGTCACAGGGATCGGGAAGATAATAGTAGTAGTACTTTTTTGTGTTTTTGATGGTCAGTTTTTATTATCGCATCAAAAAACATCCGTCATAACCGATTAAAATGTAAAACATTATACACGACATAATAATATGACAACAAAACCGATCAAATTGACGTTCCAATAATCTTTGCGCGTTCGCGTTTCCAACTGCGTTACTACCTATTATATACAACTTCCTATAATTTCTCATCTGATTTGCACATAATATGTGCGGTCAGACAAACAAACAAAAAGAACCATTCGAATATGACTAGAAAGCTCGTGGTCACAGGGAGGGAAGTTTGCAGTTTCATTGCATCAAAAATATCCATCACAACCGAAGATACAGCCAATTAAAATGTACCTCGCACTGAACTCAACCTAATTACCACAAAACCGATACAAATGCTCGCAAATCTTTGCACGTGCACATGCGCTTTTGAACACCTGTACCATGGTTATTATGCAGCTTCCTATTTCTCATCCAATTTGCACGTGGGCGGTCGTACAAACATTCTAAATACATACAAAATAATTCTTTGAATTATAATAATGACTAGAAAGCCCGTGATCACAGGGAGGAAGTTAATAGTATTCTTTGGTAGTCAGTTTTAGTTAGCGTAATATCAACAAAACCGATCAAAATGACGTTAAAACAATCATTGCACGTGCACGTGCGTGCAATAACCCTCGTTACCATGGTTATTATGCAACTACCTATTTCTCATCTTATTTGCATGTGGGCGGTCGTACAGACAAAGAAAATTCTCTGAATTATAATATAGACTAGAAAGCCCATGGTCACAGGGAGGAATCTAATAATATTCTTTGGTTGTCAATTTTTTAGCATCAACGAATATCAATCACAACCGAAGATACAGCCAATTGAAATATAAATCGCACTGAACACCACCTAATAACAAAATAACCGATCAAAATGCCCCTCTAAAATCCTTGCACGTGTAAGTGCACTTTAACACCGTTACCATGGTAACTATGCAACAACTTATTTCTCGTCTAATTTGCAAGTGGGCGGTCGTACAGACATTATACAGCATAAATAATTCTCTGAATTATAAATATAAGTAAGACTAGAAGACGGCCCCAATAAGTCTATGAAGAAACACAAAAAAACAAAAAAAACGAAGGGTACACGATGAGCAATGATGAAACTATGAACTGCAAACGCTATCTCAATGATTCAGGCTTTGGCTCCTGAAACCCTTTCGGCACCGTTCACTCCCCTCCAATAAACACGACCTGGCTCGTTCGACATCTTGCTTATATTTGATTTTATTGAGGATGTCAATCCCTCGCAGCTTTAGAAATTTAAAGTGCCTTAAATTTAATTTCCTTACTAATTATACACATAATATTCATATTGTAACTTTACCACAGGAGTACTTATATTATATTGATCACTTTTTCGTTTTGTCGCATAACATGAAATAGAAATGAGGTAGCTGTGAGTTGCACATGACTAAAATTTTGGAGAAAGCACTGACAATTAAAATGAAACATCACCGAAACGGGAGAAAGTAGTATATAATTATAAAATTTTCTGTATCGAGATTTTTTTATTTCTGACTGAATTTTGTCAGCGTGCGAAAGAATGTTCCGGTGTTCTATTTGCTGTTCCGCATCGTCCATTTAGTGACATCATCATTATTGCACCTTTTTCCACGGTATAATGACGTCACCCTCGTCTGGGTTGTACCCTAAGGCAACGGTGCAAGCCCCACTGCAGCTGTTCATCTTCGCATCAACACAATCCGCATCTTTAGAACAGGATTCTGGAGCTTCCGACAACCAACACCACTCTAACAGTGTGTACAGGTCGTAAAAGTTGTTACAAGTACCAGGTGGGCCCTCCCAACTCATTACAGCAGCCCCGTTGCATTGACTCCAGCATTTATTGTCAGTACAGCCAAACAAACACAGGTTGTCATAGTTGCAGGAGTAGATGTCTTCGTAGTCCAGGTTGCATTTTTCGTACTCAATAACGTATCCACCATTGCCCCACTCTCCAGCAGACAAATGTACTGCAGCG